TTTTTTCTTTTTCCTTCTGTTAGGTGGTGGTTTTGGGAAAATACAATGCTCAAGGCTTGGGTTTAGACCATGAACTGATGCTGAGATGTACCAAGGGACAAGAGTATGTTAAAGTGGTGATGCAGAATGGCCGCATGATGGGAGCTGTGCTGATCGGTGAAACGGACTTGGAAGAAACTTTTGAGAACTTGATTTTAAATCAAATGGATCTTTCAGCTTATGGTGAAGACCTCCTGAATCCAGACATAGATATAGAGGATTATTTTGATTGAACAAAACCCCATTTCCATTTTGTGTAAGGTTTTGACACAACATAGTATGTCTTATAAAACTGTTTCCTCGGGATTATCAGAAATGAGGGATAAAAGCAATTCCTTATTAAGATTTTGTGTTGATCTTACTAAAATACTGACCGGCAAATTAAATCAAACTGTGTAGAAATGCAGCAACAAAAGCAAGTGGATTAAGTATTAGTGTTGGCAAAGAGTTTTTGCCTGGAGTAGATGAACACTAGAGAACAGGGCTCCTAATAGTTCTTAAAAGTGGGCTTCTCTGTGCTGTTAAGATAGCACTACATTCACTTGAATGAGAGGTAGCCTTCATTTTTTAAAAGTAAATTGAAAGTGTTTAAATCCTGTATTCCCCAAACCCTGCGTAATTCACCTGCCATGTCTACCACAGCCCAGTTTCCCCACGGCTTCTTCTCAACCACCCTTGTGAGCCAAGTTGCCTTGATGTGATGGTGCTGCCTTCTCTGCCTAAAGCTACCTCCAGGCTGGAGCAGTGTATTGGCTACAGCAGAAAAGCCCCTGCTTCCTGAAACCACTTGGCCAGGTGAAGGTTTACAAGGCAGTCTCAGGCAGGGTTACATCCCTCTAGCAGCCCTCCACAGCTCACACCCGAGTACTTGCCACTTACATCAAGACTCCTATTCCAGCTCATGGTACCATCTTTGTCCAACTGGCTCAGACTAACAGAGGACAGCTTTAGGACACAGGATGGTTGGAGCTCTCACTACCTGGAATGTAGACCAAAAGATGGATGTTTGGTGGGGTTTTTGGTGTGTTTTTCCCCTCATAAGCTTATTGCTGAATAATTTTATTTTCTACTTGGCTAAGTACAGAACACAAAAACTTTGAACAATGAAAGTCAGGATGAGATGTCAGTTAAGAGCAGCTTCTTTACTGCATGCCACTTCAGCTGTTCAGACACTGCAGCAGAGCTACACTGGTGGATCCTGCCTCATCTCCAGCAGGGTCAGTGTGCTGTGCTGTGTGTGGTGATGTCACCTGCAGTAGTATTCCCTGGCAAGAGCCTGGGATTAAATGCAACCAGGGCTTTAAACTGTTTGTTTTCACTCATAACTAGCTCCCTGGGTAGGCGTTCTGTTGCACTTCCATAATGGTAATCTGTATGTACAGGTTTGCTTCAGTCAAGTTCCTTCTTTGTTAGTTGTTAGGCATAATGTAGTGCCTAGATGGTAAAGCCCAACAATTTAAGCTATTCAGCTCTGCCTCCCATAGTGTCATCCATGGAAAGAAGTTGTTTCATACTGGCTTTTGGTTTTGTTCTGCAATTGCTACTTAGGAGTTGCTGTTCAAGGATCAAACTGGGAACAGTTTTTTGTACTCCACTAAATAGGAAGCTTGCAGTACTTATTGAGACTTCTGCTGGAATCACTCTATTTTTTAAGAGCATGACTCCTTATTTAAATTAATTCCACTTTTGGTAAAGGCTTCAGTTAAATGATGGGTGAAATAGTCACTAACAAGATTGTACCAGAAAAATAAAGATTATTTTCTTAAGCATGTTTGTTTTTATACTTAAGTTAGTATACATCTGAATGGGGGGAGGGCAGGGTATCCAAAATTAAACCTACCAGACCTTATATTTATAATGATGTTAAAAAAAAAAAGTAAAGCATACATAATGTAGCATTCAGTCCTGTGTGTGCCCAAGCAATGCTTGAGGTCAGCAGTAGCTGTTGGGTCTTTACCACTCCAGCAGCACAGTTACTTCTTCCTGGAAATACTGATGTTCATCAAAGGAAGTCAACAGGTACTTATTTCTACTTCACATACAGATTGTTCTCCCTGCACAAATGGGAGGCAAAAGAATTCTGTAGCTGAAGATTTCCTTCAGTCCAGTGAGAGTGCTGAGGAAAGAGATCATAGAATCCTAGAATGGTTTGTGTTGGAAGTGACCTTGAAGATCATCGAGTTCCAACTCCCTTGCTTGGGCAGGGACACCTCCCACTAGCCCACGTTGCTCCAAGACACATCAAACCATCCAAGCACTTCCAGGGAAGGGCCTTTCACATCTCCAGGCAATCAAAAGATTGTGACCCTCAGTGCAGAATGGCTCTAGTTCAACTTAGCAGGATATGGTTTCCAACATTACGGGTTGGGTTAGGCATGGAAAGAACACTTCCATGGTGTTTACTTAATTACACAGTGCAGAAGGTAGGACTGAGCAAATAAAACACTGATGCAATTTAAATAGCTAATTTAAGAGGATATTGATTATATAACTAGAGGT